GACAACCCAGGGATCGATATCCATCTGAAAGGAGTGTGTCACATCTTTAGCAAAACTTGGGAAGTTTCCCTTTATGATATTGTCCAGTTGGCCTTCCATTTCTTTGGGAAAATCTTCTTCCCCTCCAAGAATCCCTAGTATTCATATATCTGAAGGATTCATCGAGTATCATAGTTCTCTAATTGCCTGTTGTGCTTTGGATCTCTTCTTTTCTGCCTCTTTAAATACCTGGGTAAACTAGAAAACTTTATCCTTTAGCTCTGAGGTTGTTTTATGTCCATTGTCTAACCTATTTTTCATACTTTCTATTGCATCTTTACATTCCCTGATTGTGTCCTTCATGTCCTTAAGCTCCTCCATATCCTTTCTATATTCTACACCTCTCTCATCTGACTTTTGGTTCTGTCTTTCCATTTTCTCATTCATTCCTTTTATTGTCCATATTTTACATTCCCTTTCTGTAAAGTTCATTAATTCTTTGTAGCTGGAGTCTTCTGCAGTGGCTGCCTCATTGTCCCTTGTGGGAGTTCCTCTGTTTTGGTTTTTCATGTTACCTGAATTTTTCTTTTGGTTCTTCCTTATGTGTTCTTTTTCCTTCTTCACCTCTTTCACCTCCTTTTTCCTTCTTACTGCCTCCTTTGTTTTAAACAGAAGTCCTTGCTTTTAAAGACAGTATGTTGCAATGTGTCGCTGGGACACCAGGTGGTACTGTGGCTTTTTGAGGAAATAGAGAGCACAGCCAGCACACTCTATGGCCCTTATTCCAAACTTAGTTGCCCTTGGTGATCTCCTTACTGTTTCCTCAGCATTCAGACCTTGCAGGGTTGGGATCTTAAAGCTCACAAGAATCATTCAGGAGCAGGTCTCACAGTTCCCCCTGACTCCAGGTCCAGGTATGGGAGTACTCCAGCCTATCCCAAGAGAGGAGTTCTGATCCCAGAAAATAGAATTAAGATGGCTGTGCTTTAGGCCCCTGCTAAGACCTCTCATGACCTTCCCACAGTGGCTGTCCCCTGGCCACCATGACCTTCTCAGTACGGCTGCCTTGCCAATCACCACATTTATGGCATATCCACTCCAACCAGTATTCAAATCTGGTTGCTGTATACTGTTTGAATCCACCCCCTCTTCTAAGCTTTCCACTCAACACAGAGCTTCCCCCCAAACTGAAAACTTCAGAAAGGCTTCCTCCCATCACAGGACTCTGTGGGTGCCCAGCTGATCCCAGTCAGTCACAATCACTTGAATCTGATTTTCACTGCTCTGGATCATATGCTATATCCAGCTCACCACCTTCTTGCTGTGCCCTCTGAGCTATGACTCTGGGTAAGGTCTCCATGCCAGGTGTGACTGGGTTATCTCTTCTTCCCCCGTCATTCTAGGAGAACTCAGCTAAATGATCCTTCTGGTCCACCATCTTACTCCACCCCCCTGTAAGGCGGCTTATGCTCACATAATTAGCTGAGTACAAAATATGTTTCTCATCTCTGTTCTCAGAAAGGAAAGTCTCACTCCCAACCTGGTTCATATGTGCAAAATGAGCTAGCAGAGATTGGTTTGTGGGAGCCAAGGTTTCCTGGGTAGGAGGACAACAGAATATGGAGAAGCAGTGACTCTGCTCCCAGGAAGGGTGGCAAAGCCACGGTGCATTTTTGTGAGTGTCATTTTGTATTTAGAATAGGTCCCTACCCAAAACATCAGCATATGAGCTTTAATATCAGCCAGTATATAAAATAGTGAAAATTAGAAGGAAATCTATTAGAAAACAGAAAGCAAAGAGAAGTATTTCCCAGAGAGAACTGGAGGATTTTGATTAAAGAGGGATCCTCAAATGCACAGAGGGAGATGGCCACAGAGGACAGCTGGGAGCTGGGAGAGGCTGCACTTATTTTAGGAAAGAAAACAGACATTAAATCAAACTTTTCTCAATCTTACTCTACCAAAAGCTCCTGCCCATGTCCCCACTGGTATTGCCTCCAGTCCCTTCTACAGTGGGGACCATCCTCACACTCTCCCCTCCCCTCCCATCTCTGACTCACAACTTCCCTTCTCAATCTTCAGGTCTCCCTCCCTTGTATTCCACTTCCCTTCCCTCCTGTGGTCTCCACAATGAATCACTAACATATTTGTATAAGAATATCCATGGAAGCTTTTTAGAAGTCTCACTTACATGATGTATTTTTCTTAAACGTCTCTAATCTTGCACTGAAGAAGAAACCCCGAGTGACTTGATTCCCTTCTCTCATCACTGAAAGGTCCTTCTCCTCTTCCTCCCTGGGTCTCCCCTCACTCCCCAGTGACCCTGATGGGTCCCCAGCCTGCTACTTTATCAGGCAGACACTACCTACTCTGCCCCCTGTGTATGATCCCCTGAAGGATCCAGTGGGGAGAGAGGAACTGGCTTCAAGAGCAGCCTGGGAAGTGGGATCATGCCTGTAGTGTCCTGTTCTCAGCTAACTAATGTGCATCTTATTTCATGTGCAGTTTTCACAGGAGACACTCCTTCCCCTTAATGTGGGGTGAGTTCTGTATCCTGTTCCCATTGCGGAGGCAGAAATAGAAAAGGAAGGACTGAGATGAGGTAAGAGCTGCCAAGACAAGGGGCCGTGCTCTGCCCTTCAGCAGGGAGTGGGCAGTGGTTAAGGCCTTGGTGGGAGCAGGAGCCTCTGTCAGGACCCCCTGGCATCTGGTCACAGACATGCTGGACCTGGGCCTGGTAGCAGGGGGTTCTGTTGGCCTGTGACTAAGGGCTGTGTGCATCTTATGTGGGATCCCAGACACCTGGCTCTGGGCTCTGCTCAGGGCTCACTGGAGCCAGCATCTGTATCCTCTTTGGACCCCTGGGAGCCTCTGGCCAGGCCCAACATAAACCCACTTCTACAAGAAATGATACTCAAACACTGGGGTTCCACACAGACCCAGAGAGGGTTGGGCTGGGCAGAGGAAGAGCAGTACATTTGCATGCAGTGTCTCTCTCTCTCCTCTGGGGCTGGAGAGGGGATAAGAGAGACCTGCAGCCTGTCTGCCTCAGCAGAACTCTGAAGTGTCTGCACCATGGCCTGGACCCCACTCCTCTTCCTCAGCCTCCTCCTTCACTGCACAGGTCAGGATGGTTCTCAGCACCTGAAACCCCCAGCTCATTTCCCACATCCATGGCAGGACTGTCCTTCCTCCAGGTCATAATGGGTGTCTGTGTTTGCAGGGTCCCTCACCCAGCCTATACTGACTCAGCCACCCTCTGCATCTGCCTCCCTGGGATCCTCAGTCAAGCTCACCTGCACCCTGAGCAGTGCACAAAGCAGCTCCTACATGTATTGGCATCAGCAGCATCCAGGGAAGGCCCCTCAGCACCTGATGTATGTTACCAGTGCTGAAAGCTCTAGCAATGGGACCGGGATCCCTGATCACTTCTCAGGCTCCAACTCTGGGGCCAACTGCTACTTAACCATCTCCAACCTTCAATCAAGGCTGATTATTACTGTTAATCTACGACAGCAATGTTGTTGTGACAGTGACACCGGCATATGAGGAAGTGGGATGAAAACCTAAGCTTGCTCTGGAGCTTTATCTATGACAATTTTCAAATTTCAAAATAGGTTCCTATGCACAAACTCTACTGGGAGCACCTTTGGCGTTTAAAATATTTCTACTCTCAATTTCTCTTCTAGTGTTTCTGAAGTCACAGGAAAACCAAAAGCAAAACCCAAAGCCCCCTGATGACACTGAAATGTTGCCTCTTTATCTACTTGTGATAAATCCAATGTCTGTGAGTCTGGACCTTTCTTACCTGAAAAGCAGACACAAGCCTCTCTTGGCTCACATGTTGTTCAGTACCCAGGGATCACCTCATCAGATGGACAGTCCTGCAGCATGGACCGTGCCCTTCCAGTTGTCACAGCAGAGACCTCCACTTTGCTCCTGGTCACCTGTGCTCAGGGCTGCCTGAGGCTCCCTATGTCCCAGGGACCAGGCAGGGGGATGTGAAATGCAGCTGAGGACATGGGTCAGGGAGGAATTCCAGGCACACAGCTGGCCTGGCTCACTCATGGGTTCCTGAAGGTGTAGGTGTCACATCAAGATAGAAGGTGGGGGTGGGGACAGCTATGGAGCTGAGGCAGCAACCTCCTTGTAGAAGGGGAGAGGGTGGAAGGGTAGGCTCCAGCTCTGCTGGGAGCTGTGGAGCCTGCTCCAGGGAGTAGAAGATGCAGGTCCCATGAATGTGACTTTCCTACACCTTGTCCCACTCAGGAACATGGGGACCCCATGGGTGGCTTTCCCTAAGAACACAGACACTGACTTTTGTCCTCCCCTCTTCTGCCTCATTGGAGCTTTCAATAGTCCAGGCTGTGATTGTGGGTCTATGGGACATCAAGGACCAGACACCCCAAAACCTGTGCCCATGTCACCCTCCCTGTGGATCTCATAATGTACCCACATCCCAAGGTTAGTTACTACTACACAGAGAGTGTCACAGACTATGGATCTTATGGTGACCATGAAGGCTGGTGACCACGGGTTCCCAGAAAGTAGGTGGGGTATAGTGAGGAATAGAAGTGCAGCTTAGGTGACATTACAGAACCAAGCCACCCCCCAGCCTCCTAGATGTTGCCTGCACCTGGCCTGGGCTTTGTGAATCATTCCCTGACCTCTAAAGCCTTTGGGATTCTGGTCCTGTTTATCCTCAGAGTGTATCACCAGTGGACTCCTGGGTTCCAGGTGCACATGAGTCCTCCCTGCAAGAATATGGCTTTAGGAACCTTCACTGCTAACATTCCCTATGTTATGATTCTCTCCAGTTGTTCTGTCCTTAGTTGAGATGATGCTGGAATGCACCTCAGTTCTTGAGGCCTAAGGGATAAAAGCACAGCCCACAGAGTAAAGTCACCTCTGCCTAGCATCTGCCAAGAGCCACCAGGGGAGCTGATCTCTGTTCCCTGCTCCTTCCTGCACCATAATGGGTCCCTGGACCTTGGAATTTTCTGCACCATCCAGGTCTTGAATCCTCCACTGTGGATGGGTGACCAAAGGCTGGGAACTGTCAAGTAGACAGTCATTGTCTGTTTAGGGTTATCAGAAAGCACTTCCAGCAGTCCTTGCAGACAGAATCTCCATTTCTGCCCCCTCAGGAACTGACTGTGACAGTGAAGTCTGACTCTGAGGGACATGTAAGCTCAGCATCTGCAAGGTCTGGCTCTGGCTTGGCCTAGAGCTGGTACAGAAGGGAAGCGAGAGGGGGGCTCAGCTGTGGGCGGCCCAGGCGCAGCTGTCCTGTCAGGGACTGAACTCTCTGCAATGTGGGTCCTGCAGAGTCAGCCTCAGGTGGGCTGAGGCCCCAGGGTTATTTGGAAAACAACTAAAGTGAGTAGGGGGAGGTCAGAAGGCAAATAAATGTGGGACAAGATGTGGTAATGGGTGTGTACATCAAGAGAAGAGGGTATTCTTTGTGACCTATGGGGAGAGGAGGTCCAGGACCTGGAGCAGTGACAAAGAGAAAACATGGGAGGATCTGAGCTCTGAAGCCACAGGAGGCCTGGGTCTATCCCTGAGGGGTCCTGGGGAAGATCACAAAACAGCAATGGTTAGCGTCGTCTATCCAGTCAGCTGGGTCCCCTCTCCAGTCAGCTATTCCTCCCAGAGTCTCTGGGGTGTGCAGGTCACTCTCTCCCTGTGATCTCTGTCTCAGCACCAGCTCCCATGGGCAGGTCACACTCTGCCCTGAGTGGGGCTTCACATCCCAGGGGAGAAGAAAGGGCTGTCTCTGCTCAAGGGGGAGGGAGGATGAGTAAATTGGGGCAGCAGGGCTCCAAGAGGGGCCTCAGGGAGCAGAGCAAAGGTGCTCCCCACACCTGGACTCCTCCCTTTCCTCCTCCCTCCCTCTGCTCACTGAGGCTCAGACCAAGTGAGGACTCAGGGCTGCCTGAAGGCCCCTCACAGCCCAGGGCCTCTGTCCTAGGCCCTGTCACCACATTCTGTGTCTCAGATGGCAGTGACTCCATAGGTGCAGAGCGGGATTAGAGCGTGGGGAGGCCACTTTGGAAGGTGCTAATCTCCTCTCAGTGCCCAGTGAGGAGGGACAAGGATCAGGAACTCAGAGGCTCCAGGACCCGTCTCCTCCCACTTGCTGAAAATTGCACTCAGTGTCTGCATCACCCTGGAATGTGTGTCTGGGATTGACAAAATTCATTCATTCATTCATTCATTCACCTTTCTTTATAGGATCTGTGTCAGTGATGGCCAGAAGAAGAGCGGGTCCAAAGGGAGAGGCTGAGCCAGGGAGCGGGTCCTGGCCACTTGGGAAGCAGGATCCTCTCTGCCGAGGGAGGAAGAAGAGGAGCAGCTCCTGGTGCCCTGGAGGGAGGGGCGGCCCTGTCCCCCCTGGGCTTCCTGCTCTGCTGCCCCAAGGGAAGCCGAGCACCCAGGAGCTAGAGTGACAAAATGAAAACCAACAGAGAAAACTAATAAACAAATACCAGGTGATATTTCAGCTCTATTGTCAAAACCTCCAGGAGTCTCATAATATAATATCCGAAATGTCCTAGATGCAGTAAGAAATCACTTGTCATATCAAGAACAGGGAAAACTAAAACTTGAATGAGGAAAACAGGATCCACAGACATAGACACTGAGATGATCTGGGTGATGAAATTGTATGACAGGTGTTATGTAAGTCGGCAATCGTAAAATTCCTTTCACGAGCTGTTTCAGATATTTCTGAAACAAATGGCAAAGGATAAAATCTCATAAAAATGTAGCAGTCATAAAAACTAAATGGAAATTATCATTAAAAATTTTAATGAAGTAAAAGGGTTTTTTAATAGAACGTTCTGTAAAGACTCAAGTACAAGTATGTATAAAACTAAAATTCAGGCGCTAGGGAAGATACTTCAGTCAGGTAAAGAAAAAAGTACCAACAATTGTTACCTCAGCCCAGCAGGGGGAGCTGTGGGTCTTCTCAGGACTGAGCCAGGCCTGGAAAAAACTCAAATGGTTCAAATTTAATGCTCTGGGGGCCTGAGCTCACTGGCCTGAGTTAGAGGGGACAGCAGGTGCTTCCTCCCAAGGGGCAAACTCAGAGCTCACAGCACCCAGCCTGCCTGACACTGTTGCTGCTCCCTGGGCTGGGGGGACCCAGAATCAGATGGTGCTGGTGCTGTTGGTGAAGGGCTCCTATTCCCATAATGCACAACCCAACACACACCCTCCTCCCAGAGAGCTGAGGAGGAGATCAAAGAACCATCCCAGAGTCCAGAAACAGTGTGGGTCTGGAAGATCTTTGGAAAGGCCACACCATGGCCTGGACTCCTCTTCCTCCTCACTCTGCCCAGGTACAAAAAGATTTCTGAGACCAGCCTTTGAAGGGGTCCCTCTGTCTTCCTTCCTCAGTCCTGTCATGAGTCTGATTTGGGGTTCAGAGTATGTCTTCAGGTTGTGGTGACTCAAGAGCTTCCCACATACCATGAGAGACGGTCACTCTCACCTGTGGCTCTAGCAGTGGAACAGCCACCAGTGGTCACCATCCTTCCTGGATCCAGCAACAGTCTGGCCAAGTCACAGGGACATTAATTTATGATATAATCCTCAAACACTCCTGAATGACAGGGAGTTCTCAGGTTCTCTCTTTGGGGACAAAGCTGTCCTGACCCTTCTCAAGTCCCAGCCTGTGGTCCAGGCTGAGGATGACTCAGTATTACAGGGATGCTCAGCACAGGGAGAGACCAGAGGAAGAACAAGACATAAACTGACCTTTGACTGAGCCTGGGTCAGTCAAAGATGATCATGTGATGCCTGGATCACATGACCAGACAGCTGAGCTCTCAGGGCAGCCTACACATTGAATACCAGCAGAGCAAAAGGTGAATGGAAGGGTCTGAATTAATTCCCACTCCCAATTTGTGTCTCATAGTGGAGGATATTTCTGCATGATTCAGAAGGATGTAAACCAAAAGAGCAGAATTTAGTTATCCTGTGTTAGGAAAATAAAAGCTATAGCTGGGTCAGATCTAAAGATTAACATCACACACATTTCCTTCAGAAAGAAGCCTCTACAGTGATGTTCTTATCGTCAACTAAGAGTAAAGGGAAGAGGGCTTTTTTGTATATTATTATAATAAAGTTGATTCCATTCGGTTCCATTTTTACAGTATGCAACATGTGAATGCAATGTGTATGTTGCATTACATTTTAAAATATTTTTAAATATAATCGTAAAAATGATTCTTCCTGTCTATAGGTATAATTAAATAAATCCATCTTCTAGGATAAATTGTAGTCCTAACCCCCACTACTGCTTAAGGTGACCTTATTAAAATATAATATCATTGCAGGTGAAGATAGTTAGGATGAGGCCACAGAGGACTATGGTGTCCTCCTGACTCAGTGTGACTAGTATTCTGATAATAAGGTCATGAGAACACAGGAGGACATGAAGAGGACAGCATGTGATGATGAGGGCAGAGAAAAGAGTTATGTGGCTGCAAACCAAGGGACCCTAACGCTTGTCAGCAAACACAGCCCATAAGAGGGAGGCAGGATCCCCCCAGAGGGCCAGAGCACACAGGGCCCCGTCTCTGGACTTTGCAGGACTGGCCTCTGGAATGGTGCATTTCTGTTGCTCTAGGCTGCCCAGTGTGTGCAGTGTCGTGACTGTTGTCCCAGAACACAAATGAACCAAACAAGCAACATAATAGTGTTTCTGAATTTGGTTGCATTTAGTCATCTTGCCCTCACTTCCTCCACAAGTACAATCATATGGGGGCCCCTCTTTCTTTACATATGTCCATAATTGTCATTTAGGATTAACATAGTGATTCATCTGTCTTAAAAATACAAAAATATTTAAGTATTGCTTAATCTTAGGAATACAATAAGTACTAATGAGAAATTGCAACTTTTAACGATTTCCCTTGCTCACTGGCATCAAGATGTGAAGATGGCATCCACATCATGTTGTTATTACAGGCTTCAGGTCATCCCTGGGGATGGGCGAGCTCAGGGAGAACGGCCGCCACACTTGGCGGGAAGCCTCAAGTGCATTATGCTCAGCCTGCCACTTAAAAATTGGGATGCAGGGCGGTACTTTTCTGGACACACTGGCAAGAGGCAGAGCAGACAGAGGCGTGAGGAGCAGTCCTTCCCCAAACCCACCAGCGCCTCCCTGCCTCTGTCAGATCAGAGCTTCCCAGAACTTCCTGGGCACAGCGATCAGCTGGGATCCTGTCACGTGTGGACTCTGAGTCCGGACATCTGGAGTGGGGCCTGGGACTCTGCATTTATAAAAGGTGCTTTCCCCCAAACCTCCACACATATGCCTCAATGTCACCAAATATATAAGAATGGTGGAAAACAAGAAGGAAACCCACTAGCAAATGAAAACAGAAAAGAAACCTCTCCAAAGAGAATTAAAGATTGTTTTGTTGTTGTTGTTGTTGTTGTTGTTGTTGTTATAGAGACAGAGTCTCACTTTCTTGCCCTCAGTAGAGTGCCGTGGTGTCACACAGCTCACAGCAACCTCCAACTGCTGTGCTTAGGCGATTCTCTTGCCTCAGCCTTCCAAGTAGCTGGAACTACAGACGCCAACCACAATGCCTGGCTATTTTTTTGTTGAAGTTTGGCTGGGGCCAGGTTTGAACCCACCACCCTTGGTATGTGGGGCCAGTGCCCTACCCACTGAGCCACAGGTGCCTCCCAGAATTAAAGAATTTTGGTTAAGGAAGGATTCCAAGTCCACGCAGGAAGAAGACCAGACAAGACAGCTGAGGAGCTGGGAGAGGCTCCACTTTCTACAGTGAAAAGACTAGAATGAAAGCAAACACACCGCAAACCTCCCTGACTCAACCCCACCTCTAGTTCCTGCCTAGTCTCCCCACTGGTTTCTCCTCCAGTCCCGTGTTCAGTGAAGACAATTCCCACCCCTCCTGTTTCTTCTCTCTGGTTCCCTATTTTTCTTTTGAATCATGGGATATGCCTCCCTTTCACTTCACATCCCTGCTCTCCTATGAGTTCCTCAACTAACTACTAAAATGTTTGCATAAAAAGGCATGGACTTTTAAAATATCTTTAAGAAAATTTCAATAATATACTTTATTTTTCTTGAACTTCTCTGACCTCACTCACACTTAAGACCCAAGTGAGATGATTCCCTTTTCTGATCAGTATGAGGATCTTCTCCTACTCCCTTCTGGGTCTCTCTTCAGTCCCAAGTGAACACAGTGGGTCCCCAGGCTGCTCCTTTATCCCCCAGACTCTCCCCACTCGGCTCCCTGTGTGTGATCTCCCGAGGGATCCAGTGGGGACAGAGAAACCGGCTTCAAGAGCAGCCTGGAAAGTGGAATCGTGGCTGAAGTGTCCTGTTCTCAGCTAACGTGCATCTTATTTTATGTACAGTTTGTACACAACCTTCCCCTTAATGTGGGGTGAGTTGTATGTCTTGTTCCAACTAAGGAGGCAGAAATAGAAAACTAAGGCTGGGACTCAGCTGGGAACCCACACCTAGCTTTGGGCTCACTGTAGCCAGCAGCTATGCCTGCCCACTTTGGGCCCCTGGGAAGCCTCAAGCTAGGCCCAGACCAGGCACAGCCCTCTGAGAAATAACACCCAGCCACCTTGGCTCACACAGGCCCAGGGAGGTTTGGGCGGGGCAGGGGAAGAGCAGCACATTTGCATGCAGGGCCCCTCTCTCTCCTCTGGTGCTGGAGGGGAGATAAGAGAGACCTGCAGCGTGTCTGCCTCAGCAGAGCTCTGGGGTGTCTACACCATGGCCTGGACCCCACACCTCCTCTTCAGCCTCCTCCTTCACTGCACAGGTCAAGATGGTCCTCAGCATCCTGAACCCCCAGCCCACGTTCCACATCCATGCCAGGACTGTCCTTCCCTTCTGTCCTTCGTCCAGTTCATAATGGGTGTCTGTGTTTGCAGGGTCCCTCTCCCAGCCTGTGCTGACTCAGCCACCCTCTGCATCTGCTTCCCTGGGAGCCTCAGTCAAGCTCACCTGCACCCTGAGCAGTGAGCTCAGTGACTACACCATTGGATGGCACCAGCAGCAGCCAGGGAAGGCCCCTCGGTACCTGATGTATGTTAACACTTATGGAAGCTCCAGCAATGGGGACGGGATCCCTGACCGCTTTTCAGGCTCTGGCTCTGGGGCTGACCGCTACTTAACCATCTCCAACCTCCAGTCTGAGGATGAGGCTGATTATTACTGTCAGTCCTATGACAGCAGTGGTATTGCTCACAGTGACACAGGCAGATGAGGAAGTGGGACAAAAACCTCAGCTTGTGCTGGAGCTTTCTCTATGACTATTTTCAAAGTTCAAAATATGTTCCACATACACAAACTCTACTTGGGAGACCTTTAGTGTTTAAAATATTTCTACTCTTAATTTCTCTCTAAATGTTTCTGAAGTCTCAGGAAAACCAAAAGAAAACCTGAAGCCTCCTGATGACACTGAAATGTTGCCTGTTTGGCCATATGTGCTAAATCCAGTACCTGCGGGGCTGGCCTTGTTCAGGAAAATGATCCTCTCCTGTCTCATATCTTGGTCAGTACTGAGGGACCATCTCAGCAGGTGAACAGTCCTTTAGCACAGACTGTGCCCTTCCAGTTGTCACAGCAGAGACCTCCCCTTCCCTCCCAGTCACTTGTGCTCAGGGCCATCTAAGGCTCCCTATGTCCCAGGGACCAGGCAGGGGGATGTGAAATGCAGCTGAGGACATGGGTCAGGGAGGAATCTCAGGCAGACAGCTGGCCTGGCCCACTCATGGGTTCCTGCAGCTGTAGTTGTCACATCAGGATGGAGGGTGGATGTGGGGACAGCTATGGGGCTGAGGCAGCAACCTCCTGTGAGAGGTGAGAGGGGAAGGGGAGGCTCCTCCTCTGCGGGGAGCTGCTGAGCCTGCTCCAGGGGAGTTGGGGATGCAGGTCCCATGAATGTGACTTTTCTATAGCTGAACCCACTCGGGAACATGGGGACCCCATGGATGGGTTTCCCTGAGACCACAGGCACTGACTTTTGCCCTCCCCTCTCCTGCTTTTCAATAGTCTAGGCTGTGGCTGTGGGTCTGTGGGTCTGTGGGACATCAGGGACCAGAAACCCCCCAACTTGCGCCTGTGTCACCCTCCTTGTGGAGCTCATGATGTGTCCACCTCCCAAGGTTAGTTTCTACTGCACAGGCAGTGTCACAGACTATGGATCTTGTGGTGACCATGAAGGCTGGTGACCAAAGGTTCCCAGAAAGGAAGCCTGAGTTTGTGACTAGATAGGAGTTTTGAAGTTTTCTGAGGTTTAGCCTGATTCTCCTTTGTCACCATGGCCTTCTTGACACCCCTCACCTCTAGGGACAGGGTCAGGCTGACCATTGCTATTAGAGCTGATAACAATCCAATGACACCACAAAATCCCATCCAAGG